CAGGTCAACCGGTAGGGGCTGTGACGGGTATTCATAATACGTGTCAACCGCCTCTAATAGCTTCGTAACATGTTACGAAGGCACAAAACTACTTCGTAAATGTTCAAATGGCTGCTAAATTCGAATTCAGCTCCAAATACTAACCTAAGAACATGTAAAACTCGAAAAAGTGAACCGAGGTCACCCGAGGTCACCAAAGGTCAATGACCTGACCTGACCTTCAGGTGACCTTGATACCCACCCTGATGTATGGGAGCAACATCAAATCACATGTTTGAACGTTTGAAACTACGAAAAGCTTGCAAACGCGCGGCTAATGCGAGCCGACATACATACGCCGAATCGCGATTCCGGCCAAACATGGTCTCGGAAAAGAGGTCACAGGTCAAAGGTCACTTGGGTCAGGGTCATGAAATTTTCAGGGTAGGTGTAAAATTGATCAATGCGAGGGTACTGAAAGTTTCTTTGCGATCGGCCGCTTTTTACGCGAGTTACTCGCGAAAAACCTTTATAGGGGGGTTGCATCAACCCCCACTGTGCCGACGAGGGTTAACTTCAAATTTCATTCGAACCAAAAAATATTATTTATTTTATTTCCTGGTGCATGATTGAGTTTACCAAAATACATATGTGCCCAAGTGACCTCCATGAAGTAAGCTGTTGGCCGCTTATGCGGTTCCTGGGCTCGAAGAGAGATCAAGGTAGATACCAGCTACGAATATTGTTCTCATTGTCGAGAAAATAATATAATGAAACATTTAACCTCCCGGGCCATGGCCCATACCTCCCGGTGTATTTTGATGGATCGAAAAAGCACATTATTTATTGAAAGTTATCTCGAGACAAAATAGTTGATCCCAGATGCCTAATATCAGGCACACTTTGCAGGCGAAAGGCAATTTCACGTGCACAGAGTGAAAAATTGGGCCTAGCCACTGCCCACTGGAAGAAAATTGCCGTTTCGCAGAACCGGCCCATACCTTCCGGGTCTCCCCTATTTGTAGTACGTGTCAACCGCCCCTGGCAGCTTCGTAACATGTTACGAAGGCACCAAAACTACTTCGTAAATGTTCAAATAGATTCTAAATTCGAATTCAGTTCCAAAAACTAGCCTAGAAACATGTATAGCTCGAAAAAGTGAACCGAGGTCACCAAAGGTCAATGACCTGACCTGACCTTCAGGTGGCCTTGACATCCACCCAAATGCATGGGAGCAACATCAAATCACATGTTTGAACGATTGAAACCACGAGAACCTTGTAAACGCGCAACTTATGTGAGCCGACATACGCCGAATCGCGATTCCGGCCAAACGTGGGTTCGAGAAATAGGTCACAGGTCAAAGATCACTTGGGTCAGGGTCATGAAATTTTCAGAGTAGGTGTACAATTGATCAACTCGAGGGTACTGAAAGTTTCGTCGCGATCGGCCGCTTTTTACGCGAGTTATTCGCAAAAAAAAACATGGGGGGTCCATCCGAACCCCCCCCCCCCTCCTACACATGCGAGGGTTAACATATTATAGTGATTTGCTCTTTCTTGAATCCATCTATTTTTACAATATTATCTTTCTACCAAATTCGGAGCCTCTAATAGGCAAGTACAACTTATGCTTCATAAAACCAAGAAAATATCAAAGTCATGAATAGGTTTTCACTTTTCAATACCAAATACTACGTTGCTAACGGTTTAAATGAAAAGTACAGTTCTACGTGATCAACCGGCTATGCTCCTTTTTCACATTTATCAAAAACAAGTCATTCAATCACAAAAGGTAACTTTTTTAGGCATGAATTATAAAGATCATGGTATCCACCCAGTGAACCTTAAGGTTAACAATTCTTTTAGCGTTTACTGAATGCTTTTCGATAAATGGTTCGACCAGCTGTTACGCTATAAGTGGAACACTTTTCCGTTGTCTTTATGACCTTACCTGGAAACAGCATTGTTAATGTGGTAACTTGTCATTATTATTGCTGCAAAGCATGCAAATGGACCATTACGTCACGTGTATGAGCCATGAACACGTCAACTATTTCCGAGAATATGCACCTATCGGAAGTTAGTCGTGGCATCGACAATCGCTAACACAGGTGTCAGCGGTTTATCTGCTGCCTTTCGTCACTAAAACCGAGCGGTGTTGACATCAGAAAGTTGAGGAAAAGGACACGGATGATGTGGTACAGCAATTGAATAGTTGCCGATAAACTGGATGTGTAGATTGTGATCTGATTCGTTCACTGTATACGCATGCTAGAAATGATCGGAACCCAACCACCATGCTCGACATGTGATTTGAGTTACAATACTCTGCTCTGACCTAATTCTTTATTTCGACATTCTTTGACGAGCGGTGCATCACTGGTATAGGGCAAGCGCCGGGTCCACTCAATCACATCCAGCGGGTGGCATAAGCTCCGTACGGGGCTCAAGCTGGGAAACAAGCTAATTGTGGGCTCCAAGCTCCGTGTGGAGCCCAAGCTCTTGCTGGACACAAGTTTCGTGCGGGACCCAAGCTCCGTGCGGGACTCAAGCTCCGTGCGGAACACATGTTCCGCTCGCGTGTCACACCTCCGAGTGCGCCGTCCGGGGCGTGTGTGTGTGTGTGCGCCGAGGTTTGTGGTGTCTCTGAGCGATCGGTATCGGTTCCCGGGGGTGTGGCGTCGCAGGGAGCTCCTAACGACGGCCGGCCGCGCCTAATGTTCCGCTGCAGACGGGCGCCGACCGGCTAATGTCACTGTCTGCACGCCGGGCCACTGAGGTCAATGGACAGACCGAGACCCGGTGGCGCGCTGCACAGAGAGGCTCGGTACAGAATAGCACCGAGGCGAACCCGAGCAGGGCCCGGGGAAGAACCCGGGCAGTCGTAACTCGAGCCCGGCGGCCAGGTCGGATGTGCCCGTGGTGGGTTGACAGAGGACATTTGGAGACACGTGCGAGAATGAGACATGGCTCATTGTTGCCAAGTTAAATTGAATAAAAATTTAGCCCACAGGACGAATGGAATTCAAAACTGACTTTGTTTGGTATGAAATGCAGCAACACGTCAGTGGCCAGATAAAATATAGAAATGCATCTCATTAGAGGGATAAATTGTCGCTATTGATAGCCGTTATCTGCGATGTTTCACGAATTCGGTTGCTAAGCATCAATCACTGCCAATTACGCCACTTGTGAGAGCCATACATCATGGAAATGCTGCCCCTCAAGATTGCATACCTCATTATTCCATTTTCCAGCTAAATACACTTCCTCACTGAAGCGTTTCCGGTCGCAGGATATCAAACACATTAGAGTCGACATTTAGCCGAGTCGGAGCGGCCGTAAGACATCACCATCGGTCTCTGTTGATCAAACATGCTGGCCGTACTGGCCTGGACCGTCACTGACCTTTGGCGTCTGCCTTGATCAGTCGCCCTCGGCCGCACCGGCATTGATCACTGATCAGCGCGCGCGCCTGATCAGGCCGATCACCGATGCGCGAAAGGACAATTACGCCATGTGGAATCGATACACCGTGGCCCATCGCCAATTGAGGAATGCCACAGAACGGTGCAGGCTAAAAATACTGATGCCGTAATTCAGCGCATTTGCATGTGACGGCATGCTAATGCGGGTAACTCGGAACTGACACAAATTGAATGATAATGACAAGCATACCACACGATATAGATATTTGCCATGAAACCAGCGTGACAATTGCGCCTATCTGACATTCAGGGATTACTCGCGTGAGAAGCTTAAATTGTCATTAGCCGTTTTCACGACGGGCTTTCCGGTGAGTGCACCTAATTTGACCAAATCTGCATCTTATCTCTTTTACAGCAAATATCTTTATTTTATGAATTTATTTCAGTGTTTTAACCGATGATGCTCTCTGATAATATGACAAAGCAGGCATATAAGCAATTAGTACAACCCTAGCTGATAGCTACTAAGAGACACACTGAGCCTAAGTTGACCAAATCTGCACCTAATCTGCACCAGATGTGAACCAAATGTGTACCAGATGGCCGTCGTGAAAACGGCTATTATGGTGGGCCACCTGCGGCTGTTTCCTGGGTAGTCTGTGTAGTGTAGCTCTTCCTGAATCTTTTATCGGACGGTATGAATGGTAGAGCTGTCAGTCGGATTTTACCGAGCAGCACTCGCAGTGTGGCATGGCTCCTCCTCTTCCTGAACGCCATCCGCTTGGCTCCCGAACAGCCAGCCTCAATGAAGATTGACTCGGCCCGGTTCCGCGAATCTGTCCGACTTGATATCGATGTCTGAATGAAGTCCAAGAACTCTGGCTAAATAAACCAGGCCCGCTCGCCCGCCCACTGCCCAGTTCTGCTCAATAATAGAATCCCCCGCCGCTCAATAGCCCCAGACGTCGAAAATTCTGCGGCCGTTGACTTCGACTGGTCACTAGAACCGTTCCTGTGCATGCCAGCTATGAGCAGGAATCAGGTATAAATCAAATACTTGGCATAGCCAGCTTCTAAACTGTGTCGTTTATTGAGCACCCACCCCTTGGGATATCGCATTACGTGGCCGTAAACAGACGGTCTTCTTTTGATTCCCACCGATAAAAGTATGCTACGCGAAGGAAACTAGATCTTACTGAGCTCTCACGCTTAACGATACATGTACCTGCTATGTCCCCGTTCACATTAAACCAAACATGTCTGCATCAAGTGTGCCCTGCTATCGGTGCACCTTTATGTCATCCCTAAAATCATTGTCATTATTTGTTAGTGCATACTTCTGTCAGTCATTAACTTATGTAGTCTAAACCTTTAGTACGCATTACGCACCAATGCAAATTGCTATATTATTTTCACGTTTCGAGGACCAGCGTCCCACTAATGACAGTTAGCTTAGCTGGTAGCCATGGTAAGTTAGAGAAATTCGCGATCACATTAGCGTGTTTCTTGTTCACAGACAAATACGCCCTGTTCCACATAACCGCGGTAGACACAGTAATCTTCCACAAAAATGCCACACATTCCACCTCACCTGTTTGTCATCAGACATCGGTTGTCCCTGAAGTCGCACGAGTTGATGAAGTTGTCGTATAGCCGCGAACAGTGCGCCTGCCGGCGGCACGCGTCCAACGCATACCCGCACGTGGGCAATGCGTGCACCGGGTACGGGTCCTTGTCTGCGGAGGAAGATACGTGGATGTGAGTACTGTTCCGTAAGTAAATGCAAATGTGAGAAAGGTGGAGCATTAGATAGAGATCACAGTTTTATACAGTGCAATGAGAGGTACAAATTTCGTGATGCTCAAAAGAGCGAATTAAACAGGTACCAGCGTGACTTGTCAACTGTTTGTCAGGACTCAGGGGCCTCGATTACCTGATGAGCTGAAATCCTGGATAACCAACGACTGCAGTCCACATATTTTCCACGAATAAGCTGACATCTTAAACCGCCATATGTGAGCTTATCCACGCTATGATTGCTGTTCTCTGCCACTACATTTGCTGCAAATCGGCGCTAAACCGGCCGGGTGCGCCGTATAGCGCGACCGGGGCGCGGTGGAACGGGCGGTCGGCCGGCGGTGCCGATCTCACCCCATTCCGACCGAGCGCCGCGGTCGACCGGGCGGCCCGCTTTGTATTCAGGGCCGGGGCCGGCCGGCGGCAGCCGCCACCGACTATGGGCTGACCGGGCCGCAGCGCGGCTTCATGTCGGTCGCCGCCATTGTGAGCCGTGTCGCCGGAATGACGCCCAGCCGCGCCGCACAAGAGAGCCGCCGCCGCCGGCCGCCGATGCATTAGGCCGTAATAGGTTCGACGCGGGGGTGCCGCCGCCGATCGGTGCCGCTCGTGCGGCCGGGAGGGCGACCTCTGTCACCAACCGCCGCGTGCCGTGATCGGACTGGCGGTTTCCTGGAAATCTCCGAATGAAGCGGGGTCAGAGAACCGGACGGCAGCCGACGTATGCATCCGGCTGCCGAGGAACGTGATGGGTCCCCGGCCAGTTCCGGAGAATTTCAGACCATCTTGAACACTGAGAAAACAGTGTCCCCATTTTCGGTCTCAGAGACCAGTTTTCGGGCTAATGTACCATATTCAAAACAGACAGCACATTTCGAGAATACTTTCTGAGCAACGCCACATGGGATCATATGATCCCTTAAATCGGTATCATTGATCGCAGAAACAGAGCTCAGTCAGTACCCATTATCGGTGTCAAGCTTTAAAACTAGTCTCACTATGAAACCAGTTTTCAGCCCGATCCCCATTTTCGGGCTCACCTGAATCCAGTTTGAGGGCTCAACCCGATCCCTTTAATCGGTATATCATTGATCGCAGAAACAGAGCTCAGTCAGTACCCATTATCGGTGTCAAGCCTTAAAACTAGTCTCACTATGAAACCAGTTTTCAGCCCGATCCCCATTTTCGAGCTCACCTGAATCCAGTTTGAGGGCTCAAATTGTGTGGTGAAGCCAATATTAGGGCTCACCTCATCGCTTTTCGTCCGATGCAGCCCCTCCTTCCCCCTCCCCCGTGTCCAGCAGCTGCGAATAAGACGAAGCCGCGGACAAACTTTTTTTTGCTCGGCCAGCCTAGCGCCAGTCTCGAGCGGTGGGACAGTTAACCCGGCAATTTTGGCCGGGATGCAAAAGTTACGTTAAACCGGTTTATGTTAACCCGGGAGCAAATAACAACGTGGGAGCCTATCTTAGGTGTGGCAAAGCTAACGAATTACTTACTTGTTGCCGAGGTGCCCAAAGAAGGTACTGGAACCGAAAACACAACATTGGTTCATGTATTTATTAACATTCATACACACAGTCATACTTGTGCAAGGTGTCAGTGTTCGGTTGTGGGGTGTAATAGCCAGGGAAAAAGTTATATGAACTGAAAAACCCGGCGCCTATTACTTCGCAACATGGTTGTGTATTCAACATGAACTGCAAGGAGTGCAGACGACATTGCCTGTGCTAACTTAACGTCTCACGGGCAGCGCCGCGCTCTGACACCTTGGTCCCAGGGTGCAGGGTCCCAGAAGCGGCGGCGTTTCTGACCGCAAATCGCCGGAGAGCCGGTCGACGCCGTTGAGGGGAATGAGCAGGCCGCTGCCAGCTCCACCTTCACGTCCGCGCGGCGCAGCTCGGTGTGCGGCGGCGGCTCATCGCGCGGGCCGCACCCGTCCGTCCGCTGCACGAGCCGCTTTTCGATCCGACAGCGCAACACCCGCACGCCATTGTGCTGGCTGAGCGGCGGCAGCGGCACGTAGGCAACAAAACAGTAGAAATCGATGGGCCTGGATCGGCGTTGCCAGCAACGCCGGCAGCGGCGCGGCGGGAGGCGCCAGTGCCGCCGTCGGGGACGTGTGCCCTTCGCTGCGCTCATTCGAGTTGGCCGGCCGGCCGCGCGGCGTAGTCCTTTTGACACGGTGCGAGAAGAGCCGGATGAAGGTGGACTTTTTATTGGCGTTGCTGGTGCTCACGCCGCCGGCGTCCAGTTTGGGCGGCAAGTCCGAGTACCAGGAGTCGGACAAGTCCCGCGCGAACGCCGCCAGCCGGTCGTCGTCACTGCTGGCGGCGGCCCGCCGCCGGCGCTGCCTCAGAATCGGACGAGTCGGTGGTACTGAGCACCTCGCGGGACGGGTAGCTGGGAGTGGGCCGGCCGCGGCCCCTGCCAGGCCGCGCCACCTTCACCGGCGCAGCCGCCTTCAAACTGCCCTTGCTGGGCGGCGGGTTGGTCGGCGGAGGCGGCAGCGGTGCCTCGACGTCAGTCCGAGTCGCTGTCACTGGGCGGCCGCCGCGGAGACGGCTTCTGTTTGACCCGCAGCCGGCCTGGGCCGGCTCGGCGCCCTCGGCCGGCGGCGCGCGCCGTTTCGAGCGTTTCACCTTTTCACTGTTACTCTCGCCTGGTCCTCAGCGTCGAGCGGCTCGGCGCTGTTCGGTTTCATGTGGCCCATGCTGCTGGGAAACTCGGGTGGGGACAGCTTTCTGACTGGAGTGCCGTCGAAGATGGAGGAGACGGGGGTGCTCGCAGAGTCCTTGCCCAATGCCCATGATAGAGCCGAGGCTCTACTGGACGCCCAGCTTAATCGGGCTATCGCCGCCCTCCTTCTATGGTGGATTCTTCGGCCCCCTACAGCCACTAGGGCCATCATATACTCCCAGATGGCGGCACCTAGGGGATGAGGGGGGGGGGGGTGTCTGGGCCACTTGTCCACCTCGTGGCGTCGCCAGCGACGCCTGCGAGTCGGAGCAAATGATTATGGGGTCTTCCTCGAAGGACGGGTGCTCCAGGAGATGTTGCTTTGCCGTCTTGAGCGCCACCATCTCAGATCGGTAACTGGAGCAAATCCTCCCCGCCGCCTCCCGCAGTACCAATGTTGTACTGTCTGGGTGCTCGGTGAGGACCCCAGCGCCGCCTTCCTATTACTCCCCCGGTCGCAGACCCGTTGACCCAGGCCCACGTCGCACGCTGGGGGAGCGCTCCCAGGCACGCCTCCGCAGCACTCCTCCTCGCTGTCGCGGACGCCCCGATCGGCAGCCGGTCCAGGTGGACCGTGACGCCGTCTGTTGGCGTCTACGGGGGCAGTCTCGTGGATAAGCGCGCCTCGGCGGGCAGCGCCACTCCAGTGGTCCCACACCGCTCCCCCGCGCTCTCTCCAGCCGGTCACTGACTTCAGTCACGGTGGGGGGGGGGGGGGCTTCCGCCACGACGCGGCGGGTCCTCCGACGGGAGGGAGAGCGCCTTCGCCAGTAGGCGCGATGCCAGCGCATCCCTCCTCATCTCTCCATCGGCACGACGCCCGCCTCGGCCCTCACGGCGAGTCTTGGAGCATGGAAATCGGGCAGCCAGTGATGACTCATGCCACCATCAGCATCTCCGCCTCCAGGACGCCAAGATGTGTGGCCGCAGCCGCAGGCAGCCACGCCGACCCCGCTGCCCGCATGCCCAAGTAGTCTCGAATCGCTGACACCTCTCCTGAAACAAGAGTGGTGTCGTAAACTTAAACCCCTTGCTGGCGCCCGCCAGCCGCGACAACACCGCCACACCAATTATTGTGACCCCGGAACTTCCGTCCCGAGCCTTATTTCACGGCACGATGCTACAGTGCGCTACACGTATTGTGGTATTCAGCTTCCATGGAAACATCAACTAATTTGGACGCTCAAACATGGGAGTCAGGAGTGGTTAAGGCCCAGAGCGTTCTGTCTGGTTTATAAAACCTTGGCCAGCAGATGAAAACGTGCTTTTTGTATAAGTGGCTTAATTTTGACGCAAAAGGGCACTAACCTTCGGCGCAAATAATGCAGAAATTTCAGCGCAAATTGCAAAATAGCTTGCGCCGAACTTCGGCGCATGACGGCTTCACGGGCGTCCGGCGTACCATATGGATGTTTTCCAGTTTGGGCTGCAGGTTTTAGCTCTAGGTTTTAGACTGTAGGTTTTGGGTTGGGTTGGGCTGGGCTGGGCTGGGCTGGGCTGGGCTGGGCTGGGCTGGGTTGGGCTGGGCTGGGCTGGTTGGGGTGGTTGGGTTGGGTTGGATTAGGTTAGGTAAGTTTAGGTTAGTTTAGTTTAGGATAGATATGAATACCTATTTTTTGTAAGTTGAATTACTTTTTTCATTTTGTAGCATCGTATGCCTTCCATCTTTGAACTGCCATATTCAAGCACCAGAATAAGTATGGACTTGAACCTTTTCCAGTCTGGATGCCTGTATGGAAGTTGTGCAAAATCATGCAGTTGAAGGTATTGTAACCACAAATAAGAGCTCATGACTCAAGTCTCAACTTGTCCATAATTGGTTATCTTGATGTATACTTGTAGACCCTTCCTCTTACTTGGCACACAGGCATGGTGTCACAGTGTTCTAAAATTGGATTTCAATTGGGTGTCCCAACAAAAAAAAAATCTGAAGACAAAATGAGATAGATTTAGTTTTTCCGCAAAACTGCATAATGCCATTTTTTACCTCAGATTTTGTCAGAACCTTCACAGGATCTGAAATGAAATGATGTAGAGTACCTAGATGCATCAACTGTCAAGTCATGCGTAACCTGGCAGCTGGCTGTTGAATCAAACTTTTGACATATTTTTTTAGCAAAGATGAAATAAAGCCACTTGTCATATTTTTAGGATGAAAATATTTTCCCCATCATGTGTGGTTATTCACCTAAAATTCTGAAACATGGAACACTGTGATACCAGCATTCCATCATGTCAACCAGCATTCCGCAGCATGTTAGCAGAAGCAGCAGCATGTTATAAGTATATGAAAGATCCAAATAGGTTGTAGGTTGGTAGGTATTGGTACTAAGTTTAACTTAATAGGTTAGTAGGCAAGGTTAGGATTAATTTTAGTTGAGCATCAAGATAACCATTACGAACAAGTAACAAAATCCTTACCTACCCTTGAAAGCATTGCTTCAATCACATCATCACGAAGAACCAGACAAAAATTTTGCACATTCTTACACTATTTGACATCCTGAATCCAGATATGATGCTTTCATGTGGCGCAAATACAAGAAAAACGAATAATCAAACCCGTGCGTATTCGTATCAACGGCGCCACAATTGTAGATCAGACCACGATCAGACCTTTTCTGAACAAATGCCACCACAATTTTAATTGATAAGGGATTAAAATGGCATGAGCATCAACATCTTGATTTTTTCTAAAAGATAGCGATAACTGATAACTAATAACTTACCATTCATTTTGAAATCACGGCGGTAGGTACACCAACACATTGCACTGAAAACAGCAAAACAGCAAAAGACGGAATGGCGGAATGTCGTATGCGTCGTATGGAGCCCTAAAACGCAGCTCGAATTGAGCCCGAAAAGGAAGACGAACTGAAGCCGCTTTCGGGGCTAATGTACTTTGAGCCCGAAAAGGGCGCCTAACTGATACCGATTTTAAAATCATACAGATTTGAGCCCTGTTTTGGCACTCATATGAGCCCTTATTCAAAAATGTTCTCAAAGTGTTTTCTGAGTGAAGAGGCGCAGTGACCCTGCATACGACCCGCGAAAGAGCGGTCGAAAGCCCCGTCGCTCGGAGCTGTGTCGGTTCGCGTGACGACTTAATTCGCCGACCCTGGGTTTCCTGAAATGTTCCGCACGTCTGCAGCGCTGCGATCGTTGGCTACAGGCGAAATTAGACGCACGCTCGTCGGGGATATCATCTGATATATTATGGGTCCAGCGATGTTCATTTCTTAGTTTAACATGGATAGTAGCACCATACAAAATATCGTTATTGTAACTCAAATTTCACATTTCATAACAGAAAATTTGTGATTAGTTTTGTTTTATAATGGTGGATTTTGTGCGTGTTTGGTCCAGTCCCTCATTTAATTAATGGCGATTGAGAGCTCCAATACACCATCAAATTTTCCCCAAAACAAGCAATCTTTTCAACGCTCCCTACACCAAGCTCTCATAGTTCCCTGAGCGCACTCACAAATACACAGCATGAAAAAGCCAATGGAGATAGCCTGCACCTGAGTGACCAGTGCCCGGCCGTGTCATCTATTAACCAGCACCAAAACACGGGCTGACCTGCGGTGGTCGGCAGGAGCCACCGCCGTCCATCCATCGGTAATTGATGGCGCTCGGTCGACGAGCTACAGTTGGCCTCGGCTGTCTGTGGTCCGCGCCGTGGCCGACCGGCCTCCCGTGCACTGGATCCCAACGCAGAAAATGGCGGCCGATTCCGGATAGAACACTCACACACGCTGTCAAGCACGATATTTTGCATATAGGTTCTTCTGTCTGCATGTGGCGAATTTGCATTTTCGACGGCCCCATTAGAATGCCCGCAGTCTGACCGTGATATTTTGCACACGCGTGTTTCATGGATCACCGTCCCTACATAGCCCCTAGCTATGTTCTTTCAGACTCTCGGTGGCAAAGTTAGAGCCACTAGCCACCAGTTTATTCCGTGTTCGTCTGCACTAGCTCACCTTTTGCATTCTTTTACGGTTCACAGCACCCTCGTCTACCCTGGGGAATATGTAAGCATATACGTTCTACGCCGTACCGCATGCCTCCAGCCCTCCACTCTCGCAAGAAGTGCGCCTTCGCCGTCCCGTCTGCACCCACCTTTTTGTTTGACGGTGTAGCACGGATGGTCGAACACCAGGTTACGATACTTGTTACACTCGGGGTCGATGCGCGGCTCCTTGCACAGACACGTGGGCTGGAAGAACTGGAAGGCCACCAGAGTCCGCAGCGCCGCCGTACACTTGGTCACCGTCACCGTCGAGCAGGCCACTGCGAGCACAAACAGACACACAGTCACATGGCAGCAGGCCACTGTGGGCGCAACAGACACACAGTCACATGGTAGCAGGCCACTGTGGGCGCAACAGACTCACAGTCACATGGGAGCAGGCCACTGTGGACGTAACAGACACACAGTCACATGGCAGCAGGCCACTGTGGACGTAGCAGACACACAGTCAACAGAGCGGCATACACATTGCGAGATCACCACAGCCAACACCATTGTCAACGGGAGTGGCTGACAGACATGGCACTGCAGCCCAGTCGCCAAACAGCCGCGGCCCGTGTGTTAGTCACATCATCTGTCCAGTTCGAGTACTTGTTTCTCTCTGCTTTTTGCAGCTGATATGTCCTAGAGTGAAGCAGTGCTGTGGTGGATCTTTTATCAACGTGTATAAATTTTTGGGAAATTCTTGTACCATATTATCAGCCATTGATCACGGTTGGTCCCTGTGACCGTCCTGCGTCCACTCTCAGCGGTGCGTCATGAATATAATGTTAGGTGCAGCAAATCAATTGCCTGTGTGCGTGGCTGACATGACATCCTAATTGGAAGGCAACAAAGCACCCCTGAAAAGACGTGCTGCCCACCAAAGCCTAATGATCTGGGAGCCATTTAGTCAGGTGACGGCCTACTCTTGTTATTAATGACGTCAATTTCAGCGTCACATCGACCGGTACAGGAATTCTAATCCTGAACAATTCGAAGAAATGTTCGGTCGTTGTTCTTCCATAAATGTACGTTAAGATATAGTATTTCAAAATTTCAGGCAGCATTGCTCTGGAAAAGAACTTAAGAATGTAAAAAATTATTTTGATGACCTCACCAGACGAGATATAACCAAACCTTGACTCTGTAATCACAAAGGCATTAGCCGCTGCTGAGTTCAGCAGGGAGCGAAAAGCACAGCCGAAAACAAGGCCTACAAAAGTTGGCTGCTCTTCTTCGTCTTTAATTTGAACAAACTTCTCAGACCATCCAAACGAGAGAGAACAGAGTAAACATCTCCGAGTGACAGAGATTTGACAGAGTTCAAAAGGTGCTAAGCGAAAGACATTGGTTTGATGTGCAAAAGATAACTATGTTACAGCATATGGGGTGAGGTAAAAATGAGTTCGCACAAGCAACATAGAGCATTGAGCTAGTCGCAACTGACGATGCGTGCTCAAAGTAATCTGAACTAATCAGAAAAAGCTGCCCCGGCCCAAAAACAAACCAAAAAGACAAACACAGATCATGACACTTTTAAAAGCGCTACAGCAGTTACACGGTTTTAAGTCAGCCTTCACTCGAAAGATGCCAAGTTGTTAATTAACACCTAATGCAGATGATGCATGCGTTTTATGTGCTGTCAGTATTAAGGAAGGGAAACGCACAAATATCATTTGTTGAAGAGAAAGAGCAATATCAGAATCCACTTTCAGACCTTTCAATCTCCAACACCGCAAGCATTACTAGATTTATCCAAATATTTCCTTCTATCTCTCCCTCCCGTCCGCTATCATCGCGCTCTCTACAGTTTCATGCTCGCCGTATTCGTTCAGGCCGATATTCGGTGCGGCGGTCGGCCTCTATCTCGGCTACTGAGCGGCACGGATAAGGCAGTCATGCATATGAACATGCCCCAGAGAGGGCTCAGATTGCGCCGCGGTGTTATCCCCGGTAGTGGGCGGTGTATGTGGAGATCAGAGATCCACCCTCCCTGCTCCTCTCCGCGGCCCGCAGCTCATGGCGCGGCGCCGTGAGCAGTGCTCCTCAGAGACAGTCTGTCCCGGCGACCCACGTGCTGCTGGTGACAGGCCCGCGGGACAGAACCATCCACGCGAAAACAGAGGATTTCAAATTCAAAGGAGTGAAATGTGACCGTGGGAGGGCTGAAAAACGGAAGCTGGAATTGCCATGAAAGTTCAACAAAATGAGAAAGATTGACATTGAATTTTTGCAGCTTTTGATTAACAGACGCTTCATCTTAATTTTATATTTACACCAATTATAAAAAGATGCAGCAAAATGAAAGCCAACAAATACAATAAAGTAAAAGCTGGAGTTGCATGAATGTTGAAACCAGAGCACTCGTAATTCATTGCAATTGTGGCTGAGAGCATTTACATGTAGGCCCACGTACGAACCACCCATGACTGAACAAGTACCAGGGATTTGGATTAATCTTCTGGGTGATTTTACGCCTACGCGACACCCACGCGGGCTAGCATGCATTACGGCCCGCCTGGGGCTGTGCCAGACCCGAGGATTAGACCGCCGGCGAGTCGGCACGGTGTTACATCAGCTCGACCACGACACCTAACCAGGTTACCGGACGCATTTGGATGGAGGCATAACTTGGAGCTGACTAACTCCCGCAGTGGCTGAACGAGCGGCTCAAATAGCTCATCCGCTGCCTACATTAACACACTAATTTAGAATTACATACATGTAACTGATGGTGCATCTTTGCTCGGAAGCAGCTCAAATATAAAAAGTGAGTGGACTGGCATTTTGCATCTATTTACTCGCAGTGTTGGTTCTCGCTACCAGCCTGCTACCACTCTGCTAGCCTAACGGCTATCTTGTGCCCTTAGGCTAGCAGAATGGCACCAACCAGAGCAAAAGTCGTCTATGAATCTCCTAATTCAAAGTGCCTGTTCAACAGTTGGCTGGCCTTTATACGGGGGAGAATGTGGTGTGAAAAAAAAATGGAATGGTGGTGATGAAAGGTATTACAAATGACTGATATAATATTATAGCCAAGGTGAGCGTGTCTCAGTGAGGGGAGGGCTTACCGAGCTCCTGGCCGCAGAGGCGCGGGATCAGCGTGGTGATGGAGTGACAGTTGGGGTGGTTGACGCACATCTGACGCGCCATCTTGCAGTTAACGATGGTCGAGACGGTCCCCACGTGAAACGCTGCAACGGAGGGAGGCCAATGTCAGCAGGCTGTCAGGCACGCCATGGGGATATCGCACCAAGCGATTGATAGGGCACAGATAAATACGATCATTGGCTCGAATAGTTCGTGGCTCTGATAACAGAAAAATTGGTCACTCATATACTATGAATAATCATACCTAAGTACACATCATTTCGGCGGAAAGTACTGTACATTGTAGAGCGTAGTTTATCACTGCTGGCTGATCCTGATGGTCTTTTCGTTGTTATATAACTTCATATAACTTTGTTTTAGACGGATGCTATCACCATTCCGTGAAACACCTGCCCCAGCCACCCACTTCTCGTCTGTTTTTACGCGTTCTTCATTGAATTTCGCCACATCTCTCCACAGTTTGCTCAAATCAGCGCCCTAAAAATAAAGAGACGTCGACAGGGAGTAGCGCGAAGAGCGGAAGTCAACTCTGGACGTCCGGCCGAGATGGTTTGTTTGGCGGGAAAATAGTCGCAAAAACAACAGACAAGTGAGTGACTTTCTGAAGTGCAGAGGCCAGATGAGACGATTATAAAGTTGGACGACTAAACAACGTCTGTTTGCCGTAGCAGAGACACCAGCGTTAAAGTGACCATCCCACCTTAACATTAGTTTTGAGTTGAGATAGCCAAATTGGTGGCCATGGCCTGCAAATACCGGTTTCGGCACTCACAACATCCAAAAATGCTTTAATTCGGAGATATGGAATTTCAAACTTGCAGTTTTCGGATTCTAAGGGGCTAATACATTGAGATGCCCCCTTAGAATTTGTGACGTCAGCGGTGATCTAACGATTTTAAAACCTTATACTAACATCTTTGTAAAGCAGTGGTGGTATATGCTATTTGCGCGCAACATCTGCCGCGAACGCCGCACTTCCAAAATGAAGTCGCTAGGAACAGCGGATATCCCCAAAAAGTAAACAAAAGTAAAAGTCTAATATCTTGAAAACCGGTGAATATTTTTCGGTGAAATTTGGTAGATATTTGTTTTTGCTCTTTCTGAATCGAGCGACATCACTTTCATGCCAATTCATTAACTTTTTTGAAGGTGGGAGGGTCCCTTTAACCATGATAACTTGAAAGCGTTATACAGGTGTGTATAATATTACAATGGTAAAAGTAAACTAAAAATGCCTTTGGGTATGAGCACGTTAAGCGCGACGATCATTTCATCTTTATTACTTCCGACAACTGTAACCATCATTGATATGTCATAATCGCATCATTGTCACTGTCACTGTATCATTGACATTACTTATATATAACAGTCCCGTAAGCCATAACAGCAGTCACTATCTGTAGCAGTCACAGGTACCGTCACAGGTACCGTCACAGGTACCGTCACAGTACCGTCACAGGTACCGTCACAGTACCGTCACAGGTACCGTCACAGGTACCGTCACAGCTCCGTCAGAGCATCCCCACCCGTCACAGTGGACCAGTGGACCTCTGGACAGTACGAGCACTCCCCTGAGTTCCCACAGAACCCACACCAGGCCCTGTCCGTGCAGCGCCGGTTCCCCGGTCACAAAGCGGTCCCGCAGCCTCTGCTGACCGTTGACCTCTGGTGTCGCTCCGAGCGACCAATTGGACCCACCGCTCCGGCAAAAACTCCCAGCAAACCGTCACCACCAGCGTCCCGCGGCGCCGCAGCAGCCAAGATTAGATTGGAGTGTGGAGTCGCGGCCGCATGTGTCGACAGAGGTTTCAGTTAGTTTAGTTTTACAAGCTCAGCTTCCAGAGCAGTGGTGTGGTACTGAAACGTTTCGTGTTAAGTGAACGGTCGGCTTGGCTTTCCCCAAATGGATTGTGATATTCGTTGCATCATTCCACATACAAATTTTACTTTATTTAAATCATAGCAGACGAAACGCTTGCATTTTCATCTACGGGTCATCTCCGTTCCATTTCATCCGTCTGGCTCTGCAGGCCTCCCGACACCCGACCCATCACGGCCCGCTCTGCTGACACGCGGCGCGGCGGCCAGTTCTATCGCGCGTGACCGTTTCGCCGGCCTCCGTCCGCACCATTAGGTGACCACTCCATTTGTGACGCGTGTTCGAGTGGCCGACCGTGTGCAGTAGACCGGACCGGCCGACCGACCGCCCACAGCTGTCCCCGCGGGTGGTGGGAGTCAGGTCAGAGCTCGAGAGAGGGAGGTCGGAGGCGCCGGGAGGGGTCAGAAGGTGAGAGATCAAAGATGGGTCAGTGATGACTGATGAGCGGTCAAGTCAGAGGTCAGCGAAATGGCATTGATCTTTGCTCATAGGTCAGTGGTCAGGTCAGTGGCTCATAGGTCAGGTCAGTGGCTCATAGGTCAGTCAGTCATAGGTCAGTGGCCAGTGGTCAGCAGTCTTTTGGTCAGAAGTCCGAGCCGATAGTCAGTATTCAGTGGCCTTTGGTCAGTGGCCTGTGGTCAGTGTCCACTGGTTGGTGGTCGGCCAGGAGTCGGACGGAGCGCAGAGGGGATCGGTCGTCTGTCCGGCGCCGGGAGGGGTAGAGGGGTGGCCGCTGACGGACGACCGCAGCTGTCCGGGAGGGGCCGTCCGTCGGGCCCGTGTGCGACGTTTGATGGGCGCCGTCGCCGCCGCTCGGACCTGGCCGCGCGACGGAAATGATGCCGGGAATGGCCACCCGTCCGAGCCATCCATTGATCAGGGCCTGGGCGTGGCACCCCCGCACATGGCTATTCTGAGCTTTCCGTGACATTTCCAAGGCTGAAGTTGTATAATTTGTCAGCTCAAGCATTTGTTCAACTGCTGCATTCTAGTAGGTTCACAAAGCGGCTAACGGTACAACGGGTTCTCCCACGCGCAGTCTGCATACAATCCCTCCCTCCCCGCTCCCCTGGAGTCCTCCCCGCTCCCAGCCGCTCTCCTGGAGTCCTCCCCGCTCCCAGCCGCTCTCCTGGAGTCCTCCCCGTCCCTTTCCACTCTTCCGAAGTCCTCCCACGCTCCCCGCTGCTCAATAGGAGCCCTCCCCCTTCTCGCCGTTCCCTCAGTTCCCAGCTCACTGTCCGTCCTTCATAGGAGTCCTCTCCTCTCCAGAGTCCTCCACGTTCCCCGCCTCTTCCCCGGAGTCCTCCCCGCTTCCCGCCGCCCCTCCAGTCCTCCCACGCTCCACTCCATCCAATCAGTGACCTCGGCAGCGCCCGCGGCAAAAACTCCGGTCACGATAATGGCTCTAATCCCGCCAAAGGTGGCGGCGGCCGTGGTCTCAAAATCCGAGACCTCGCCCCCATCGGCCGACCAACACAAAAACGGTCACACCGAGAGCAGATGACCTAATCAACCGGGTCCCGTCTCTTTGGTCCGGCAGTCACAGTCTTTGGCAACTCGGCGCCTTCCGGTGCAGTCGTCGGAGGCAAAACCACTTTTTGGAAGGTGATGTGATTACAAATAATATGAGAGTACCCTATGTGATTCGTGGTAAACAGTAGAATCCGTCGCACTAAACTATTTCGCAAAATCCTTCTCATTCCATCAATTCCAAATTTCCTGGATCAATTTCTCGTATCGATCAGGCCGGCGCGGCGGCCTCACCCCGCGGCTGGACCACACCTCCCCGGCGCGGCAGGGAGACGTCTGGCTGACAGCGGTCCGTTGGCCGGCGCCGAGGTGCGAGATGAGCTCATTAGTGTGATCGAAGAAGGCGCCGCGCGCGCCCGGTGTCCGATGAACAGCCAATGACTGACGGAGCCGTCGGCGGATCGTGCCTGGCCGCTGACGGTACGCAGAAACGGGACGAGAGGCGGCACTGGCAGGCAACAGCAGCAGACCTATCTGCAGCTCTTTGACCTCCCGGCTGGCTATGACTTAGGAAAGGCAAACGAGCGAAAGGAGACTAGAAGAGAGGCAGAAAAGGGTGAGAAACAGGAGGATCTATAAGGAACCTTGCAACCAAATTGTACTCGCGAGAAGCTCAGCAATCAATAACATTTCATCAAAAATAACCAAAGCGAGGGACGAGTAGCACGGTGAAAATATAGAACGTAAGCGAGAAACCAGGCGAGGTATATAGAAATGATGCAAAGAAAAGCCGTCGAGGGCCGACAGCTCACCAGCGCTCGACTGCAGCTCTGTTTGATGACGACAATGCTTCTTTGACGTGGGAATTCACAGCAGCAGAAACTGATCGGCTCTGGAATTGATGCAACTGTGAAGCTATCGTCCGCTATCGCCAGAGACTGTTGATGGTGCAAGATAAATAAACGTCGACAAAGAAAGCTGTGTTTATCTTTGGAAGTTGATTGTTGCATGGAAAAATGGACATCATATAAGCCTATAACAATTGTGCAACATTGTTTCGAATTACCTGCCTTGCACTATGGTCATATCCCATAGAAGTTGTAATCGGAATTGACCTCAGCATCTCCTGTTTCTACTTCCAAAAAAATCGAGAAACATGAAGGTTCGGTAGTGTTTCACTACATATTAAAGTTGCGTTCTCCTGTCGGATATTTCCGCCCAGTTTCCACGCTCAGCACATCATAGCTCGATTGGGGCCATTTCAGCGGCGCTGCTGGCGTGCCCAGACTGTCATGCTCGGCCTCTATCCGGGCACCGGACATTTACCGCCACATCTGGACCGTGCCGAGCGACGGGCAAACCTCGCCGGCCTCTATCGGCATTCGTCACGCATATACGGCTCGGAGTCGACAGTCTCGGGCCGGGCCGGGCCGGGCCGCCGCCGGCGGCCGCGGTGTCGAGAGCTCCGAACGCAGCGGGTCGGCGTCGTGTCCGACGACCGTCGGCATTGTGCTCCGTCGTCGAGATCGACCAGTCGGAACTGGGAACCGACCCTGGCCCGCCGCCGCGGCCGGTCCGACCGTGCCAGCGCGCCCGCCCGGGCTTTTCAGCCTGTCCCCCCCCCCCTCCGACTGCTGAGCTAGTGCGATCTCGCAGGGCCACTGGACTTGCCTTATAGATAACATTAAGCAAGCCTTGTGTTTTAGCATGATATTTTTTTAACATTTTCCATTG